TGTCTTGGAGCTTTGGTCTCTGTTTGACTTTTTGATGCCTGGATTCTTGGGCGCCGAAAAGGTCTTTCTGGATCGCTTTGCAAAACCTATAGCTGCAAGTCGATTTAGCAAGGCATCATCAAAGGAACAGGAAGCGGGTGCCTTGGCGATTGAAGCGCTCCACAAACAAGTGCTTCCGTTCCTGCTGCGACGTCTCAAAGAAGAGGTTTTGAACGATCTTCCCCCCAAGATCTTGCAGAACTACTATTGCGACCTGAGCGACCTACAGCAAAAACTATTCGAGGACTTCACGAAGAAACAGGGCAAGAAGATCCAGGCCGAAGCGGGCCGTGAAGATAAAGAAGCCAAGCAACACATTTTCCAGGCGCTACAGTATATGCGAAAGTTGTGCAACTCACCTGCCATGGTAATGAAACCAGGAAGCACTCTTTACGACGAGACGCAGAAGATTCTCGCCAAGCAAGGAACCTCCATCGAGGATGCGCAGCACGCACCCAAGTTGACCGCTCTGAGAGATCTACTGGTGGATTGCGGCATTGGCGTTGAAGGCAATGATTCGAATGATCCCCTTTACCAACCTATTAAGCCCCACCGCGCGCTGATCTTCTGTCAAATGAAGGAGATGCTCGATATGGTGCAAAACAAGGTATTGAAGGAGTTATTGCCCTCAGTGTCTCACCTACGACTTGACGGCTCGGTCGAAGCCAACAAGAGACAAGATATCGTCAACAAGTTTAACAGTGACCCGTCGTATGACGTGCTTCTGTTAACAACGAGCGTGGGAGGTCTTGGACTAAATTTGACAGGAGCCGATACTGTCATCTTCGTGGAGCACGATTGGAACCCTCAGAAGGATCTCCAGGCTATGGATCGAGCCCATCGTATCGGTCAAAAGAAAGTGGTGAACGTGTACCGTCTAATCACACGTGGAACTCTCGAGGAGAAAATTCTGAACCTCCAACGTTTCAAGATTGATGTCGCATCAACAGTCGTAAATCAACAGAACGCTGGCCTCTCAACCATGGACACAGATCAGATTCTTGATCTATTCAATGTTGGAGACGCCGCTCCAAACCTCTTAGCTGATAAGGAGAAGAACAACATCGAAGGAAGAGAAGAGGATATGGTTGATATCGAGACAGGTGATGTGCGTGTACCAGGCAAGAAGGCATGGCTGGATGATTTGGGGGATCTTTGGGATAACAAGCAGTATGAGGAGAGTTTTGACCTGGATGACTTCATGAAGACGATGTCGTAGGCAATAGGCCGACTTGCCAGGCTTGCTGAAAACATGGTGAAGCATTTGATTATCGAGTTTTGGACGAGACGGTGGTCCACTAGAATATCGTATTCAACACCGTCATTGTTGATATGTACAATAGTCTAGATCATTCATTTAGCGAAGGCGTACTTTTGCTTGTGGAATAATTGCTAAGGATAATGCTCCGTATTAGTTGTCTGATTGACTGCTGTGCAATGAGACCTTATTTAGTATCCATGTTAGGATTCTTCGTCTGGTCTGATCGACTCAGTACGGATAGCTTGTCCACCTTCGTTCTCCGTATTGTGGCTGGTACGAACAACAGCCACAGCCCGCCACAGCCATACTAGTGGGGTTGCTCATAATCACCCCGCTATCATGGTAGAGCTCTTGAGTAAGGTCCAGAAACTTCCATTCCTGCGGCCTTATTCAACACCAGCACTCCTCACTAAACTCATCTCGCGACCACTTGTAAGGCGGTAACTTATACATATCAAAGTCCACAACATGCCGGTCGATTATAGTAAATGGGTAAGTTTTGGAACCTGTTTGCTTGATCCCGACCCTGACAGTCTTGGTAGGACGCACTGGAACTCAGTGACGACTCCGATATTGAAGTGCATCCTAATGTCGATAAGCGATCGTTTATCCGCGCGAAACAGAATCAGATTCACCAGGAGAGACAGCACCGAAAGTTACAAATCGAGACCTACAAGTATGAGCGTGTGGTCAACGATGGATTGCTGAAGCGAATTTCGGGGCTTCTAGCTTCGCTGCGAGCCCATGCCTCCGAGGCTGTCACCAGGAACCCAGCAGAAGTTGCCTTTCAAGCCGTGATGGAATCAGCCGGAGATCCAAAAGATGACAAGCCGCCTTCACCGCCCGAGGGTGTTCATGCCCAGGAAAAGGAACAACCGTCATACACTAAGATGATGGCAACGCTCCTGGACCAAGTCAATAAGGCTTTGGATGAGAAGAAACCGGAAAACAGATACGAAGCTATGATTTCTGAGATTCAGTCACACGAGGATAAGGTAATGGACCTGCAGAAACAGCTAGTAGCTAAGTTGGAGGAGTTGCAGAAGGAGGAAGGCCGAAAGATCACAAGTGAGGGCATTCACACAGGTTTTGATAGCTCGCATGTCGCCAAGTCAAAGCCAGAAGAGAAGAAGGACTCTACGCAGGTAGAGCTTCTGAATCCTAGTTTCGCTGAAGCCTCTTCCAGCTCGGCACCCGGAAGCCAAGACGTCAAGGTGGACGATGACAGCGATATCGAATCTTCCCCGGCTGGAAAGAAATTTGGCACCATCAAGGCAAATGACTATGCGGCTAGTCTCCAGTTCCTGTCGCAGAATCCTCAGTTGTTGGTTGAGAGGGAGACAGATGGCCTTCTGGTTCAGGCTTTCGATGCTGCTCTGGAGAACAAGGATGAGTTGTCGCGACAATTAGTGCATCAGGCCCTACTTCTACAATACTGCAGAGCTCTCGGCCAGGATGGTGTCGGGCTTTTCTTCAAACGCATCACAACTAAGGGGCACCAAGCACAGGACGTATTCTATAAGGATGTGCAAGACACATATATGAAGATTCGAACACGTTCGAGGGAGATCTTAGCCGAGCGAGCTAAAGAAGGGCAAGCTGAAGGTATCGAGCAAATTCAGCTACATGCCGTGGAGCCTGGCACAGTCATCAACATCAAGGTTCCTTCAGCGGACAGTGAGGACCCTGAAGAGCAGGAAGCGCGGAAGATCTTCGAGAGTTTCAAGCCTGAGATGCGCAAGGCCCTGGAGACGGGCAACTTGGACCAAGTAAATAAAGTGCTGGGTGAAATGAAGATTGACGAGGCTGAAGAACTCGTGGGTCTCTTTGGCGAGGTAAGCCGCCAACTCTTGCCGATAACGTTATAATTCATAAGCTAACGAATCGCTTGATAGGCCAACATTTTGAGCCTGGAAGAAGAAATCATTGACGCCACAACGGAGGAGGGAAAACAGCAGCTGAAAGAAATTGAAGCCGCTGCTTCTGTCGACAAGAAAGAAGAATACGGTGATCCTGAGTAAGTAATAGCACGCAAGGACAAGAACTTGCTCGGTATAGATATACATATGCAGTCTTGCGATGGGGCCCACATTGCTTTGTTCATGCTACCTAAGTATAAGAAAAAGGTTACCGAACATGCACTGAGGGGTTATTGAAGTCTATCTTAGCCAGATGAAAGAAACGCGTTTGGTCTCCATAACCGTACAGAGTATAACCTACATATGAACCAACTATCATGCAGTCGTGTTTGATACATTGAGAAGTGAGGTCCTTCATGCTTGGTCAACATTTTGAGCCGCCACGTTAATGTAGCTAGGTCGCCGCCTGCGGAGGCTAATGGCATGAAACAGATAAAAATAGACCATGCCCCTCCCTCAAAAAACGTTGTCTACTCAGCCTCCCAGCCGCCACCACCTCCTCCTTCACGAGGAATGGCTGGTTATCGTGGTATGCATAACAAGCTGAGGTTAGATGTGATTTTGTAGTTCAATGGTGACACAAGCTTGTCGGTATACATGAGAAAATCCATTGTGTTGAGTCAAAAGGGGTTAATATTAGATACGAGAGATAAACGAGATCCAATCTCGCTGGCGGCGAGGCGTTCGACGTTCTCAAATGTTCGGAATGTGGAGGGGCAAATGGCTACAGCCGAGACAACGTCTCGGCTCCCGCATTGTAAGGTATTTTTACATGCAGTATATCTTTTTGGCATCGTAGAACAAGTCATTACACGTGTGATATGTGGCTGCTCGCTGATCAGCATCGTAAACCGTGGTGGTTGGAGCCTTGGATGGCAGGATGGATAAACGGTTCATGTTGATCTGCACCGTATGATACCACTGGCTAACCAGGCGTGACGTGTATCGAGCATGAACTAACATCGATTTGCAAATGCCTTATTCATGCTTTATGCTTTAGAAAACATACCTAGGGCTGGCTCAACAGGTACAAGCTCAAACTGTATCTCAAACAGATATCAGCTCTGCTTACGACGTTCCTCTGGGAGCAAGAAAACACGAGACCAAACTTTAGGGCGACAAAATAAACTCTACAAAAGGTTCACTAAACTCACCCTAAATCTATACCAAGTTACCTAAGTATATTTATCAGTTAGGTTCAAGGTCCTAAGTTTTATTTCCTCCCCCAGGACGTTGACTATTCTTAATTTGTCTCGTCGGCGTTTGAAGTGCAACACAACACCTACACTATATAGGGCATATCCACTGCTGACGTCTCAAGGGGCGCAGCATCGACCACTCGAGACCTGACCCGGCCTCAGCCCCAACCTTCAACGTCTTGGCTTTTCGGTCGTTTGGCGATCACTCCAGTGTTCCGGGCAGTGGGTAGGTAGGTATCCAGTGGATATCCGGGGCCTCTTTTGGTTCGCTCCCATGGCTCTCAGTGAGCCGCCAACTCCCAGCCTCTAACAAAAAATAAGAAAATTGGACGGGGCGACGTCAGCTCGAAAGCACGGACAGCAACATCTCATCATCCACCCCCTATGCCTACGGGGACCTACAGCCTACCTCATGACATACTCCATGGCAAATATTGTTTTCTTTGTTTCATAGTTTATTAACCTCATATGTCCTTCTTTAGATTTGTTTCTCACTTCCTGTCTATCTTCTATATTATTATATTTTTCTTCTGCCTTGTTCAACATATAGATTCTCGACAAGACCGGCACACACCAATCGCCATGCTCCAGGCCTCACTTTTGTCCGTGGTGGCAGCAGTTCTCGCTGCTACGTCCACCGTCTACGCTCTCCCACAATCAAATTCAGGGTCAGGGTCAGGCTCTTCAACAGCATGCAACAATTCTCCGGACCTTTGCAGCCGCAGTTATAACAACATCACACACATGGGGGCTCACGGAAGCTCTTTTCTACGCGATGGCAACAACGGACTCGCCGCCGCAGGTAACCAGAACTTCAACGCCACGGATGCTCTCGACGCTGGTCTTCGTCTGCTTCAGGCCCAGGTACACAAAGAAAATAACACCCTCCGCCTTTGTCACACTTCCTGTGGCATTCTCGATGCTGGCCCACTCGAGGACTGGTTGACTAAAATCAACGTGTGGATGAAGGCGAACAAGAATGAGGTTGTCACTCTGTTGCTTGTCAACTCCGACGATGCCAAACCTGATGAGTTTGGTCAAGCCATTAACGGTTCCGGCATTGCTGAGCTTGCTTATGCACCCGCTACCCAAGAACCAACCAGCGAGTGGCCTACTCTCAAGTCCATGATCGATAACAGCACACGCCTCGTAACTTTCGTCACCAACATTGATGCTTCGACTCAGTACCCATACCTGATGCCAGAGTTCGACTATGTCTTTGAGACAGCGTTTGAGGTTCCCTCTCTCACCGGCTTCAACTGCACTGTCGACCGCCCCTCAAAGATTAAGGATGGCGCTACAGCCATGGCTAGTAACTATATGGGTCTCGTCAACCATTTCAAGTACCAGAGTCTTTCAGACAACAGTGACTTGTTCGTCCCTGACACTGAGAACATTGATACTGTCAACAGTGATGGTACCAGCGAGGATGGTCAGCTGGGAAAGCACCTCCAGCAATGTCGACAGGAGTGGGGTGCTGTGCCCAACTTTGTGCTGGTAGATTTCTTCGAGAAGGGTCAGGTTCTCGCAGCGACAGACACGATGAACGGCATCTCTGACGCCACTGGGCGTGAAGAGGTCTCGGATGAGTCAATCGGCAGCACCACTGACAGGCAAGTCGGGATGGTTGCCCTGACCGCCTTCGTTGCTGCCGCAGTCCTCTTGGTATAAAAAGTCTCTCAAGGCTTGAATGCATTTCAGCATTCAAACACAATTGCTTTGTCTTTACTCTTCTCTCGACTTCATTTACACAGGTTTGATAAGACCTGCCGTTTAATCCGGTTCGGTCACATGGGCATACAGCGAGGCGTTTGGGATAGCAAGCTTGCATCTTCATAGATTGAATTACGACTAGGGATAAGGGATTGGTCGATAACTTTGTAGCGATTTGGTAGCATAAGATTGGCCTGTTAGACAGATGGTATGCATTTACCTCGATAATAGACTCTCAATAGAAATGCATAAAGATGTTGTAGTGACTGAAAATTGCTCTGGGAATAATAATATGTATTTCATGCATGAACATTGCACAGCTGTGCCCCTCGTCAGCAACATCATCAGCATTTTCAACATCATGAAGTCGTTGATGAGCAACGTCATGTCAGCCAATTAGCAGCGATTTAGCCCAAGTCCGAGACCCAGAAGCCTAGAATACCATCAATATATTATTACTCTTGTTTTTTCCACCTTCACTCTCAATCACATTTTATGCCACCCAAATCGGAACCCGGGAATTTGACTATGGATTACGAGAGTATTGCTACGCCAGAGTCGTGCTATGTCGACTTTTGCCTTCTTCCCGTGAGTCTTGGTTTCTACGTCCCTCGAACTTTTGGGATGCAGATATTCTAATACTGACAACGAAAAGATCGGAACTGGAACTGTGTCCGTTGCCGAAGATATTGCTGAGGTCCAAAAGGTCCTCAAGGCGAGTGGTTTGAAGTATACTCTCCACTCTGCTGGTACAACCGTGGGTGCGTTATTTCTGCCCTGCACCAATATTATCCTCAACTTGCGGCAACACACTTCACAGCTCCAGTGACATCAAGCTAACAAGTCTTCTGTAGAGGGATCGTGGAACGAGGTAATGGCGGCTGTAGGAAAAGCACATGCTGTTGTGCACCGCCGTGGTGTAGTCAGGATTCAGTCGTCGATGAGGGTCGGTAGTCGGTATGTTCAACCGCCCTTCATATCCATTATTTCCATATTGTCTTGTGTGGTTGCATGCTGACCATGGTCTTATCATAGAACGGATAAGAAACAGACGGCGGAGGACAAGGTCAAGAGAGTGGAAAACCTGCTGGCCAAAGACGAATCTAAGTAGACATGTCACTGGTGACTAAATCTGGGATGAGAGGCATACAAACGAGAGCTATGAAGCTTATTTTATTAGTATCATCTCTATATGACCTTATCTAGACGCCCTCTCGGGTGGTTGATCATAGCTGTGAACACATTACTAGACAGAGGGTATGGCAGAACAGACTAAGTTCTATCTCCATGTGCTTCTGAAGCCCAGTGGTAAGTGTAGGCTAGTTTCAAATAGCCTTGACTGGCCAGTCTGTGTCTTGAAGCCAACAAAAATGCATAGGTAGCTGTCCTATGTAAGACTTGGAAATGGTTACAGGGATTTCTATACCATTAACACCTTATAGTGCTTTCCCCTACGCCTCTGTGTTTTATATGTCGCTCTCATATTTCTGACCGTTATCATCAACTGGCTAATTTTAGAATTCTGTTATTGGGATCTGATCATGGTGTCAAGAAAGTTGCACTCCTCTTGACTAACAGGTTGACTAGATGAGAACTAGCCGATCCGTCTTTCGCCTTACCCGGTGCTACGGACAGCTTCTAGGTAATATAGGCTACAAGAGATATGCCCAAACCGCGTAATTTAATGATGTAACAATGAAATACTAAAGCCAAAACTGCAGACACGAGAACAACCTAGGTAGTGCTGCACAACGCCACTGCCTTATGAAAACAGCTAATTTCCCAAGTACCCTATAGCAACATGTAGAGACATAGGTACCTAGTCCAAGTCTGAGATTTAGTCATGATCAATCCTGAATGATATGACGTTCCTGGAAACGAGCCTCGTTCAAATAAAGACATGCTAATGAAGTCTGGTACAGTACTCCATGGGCCCGGGATCTCTTGTGAATCAGACGAGCTAGGCAGTTCTGGGTAAGAATTTTGCATACTTGGATCAACGGCTCTTGGTGCCGAGATCTCGGTTCCGGTGGCCAGATTAGAGAGGATGGTATGGTAACTTCAGATTCCGGCCAGTTCAAATATAGCCCATGGCGTTGGTCACTACTAGGTAGTTAGAAGGTGCAAGGTGGGCAATGTGATTCGTTTGGACACACCTTTGCCCTCCTGGACTCCTACATACAGAGTTCAGCTACCACGCATCTCGCCTACAATGTCTTGCCGGACATGATCTTCCGTACAAACGATGATACCCAACCTTCAACCATGCATCTAGTGGTGCATGACAACCTAGCGTAACAGGTACCGCTGAGAGTATGTATGCTATCTCTCATTGATCGAGATGACAGATACTTTGTCCTAATAAGAACTATCTGTCGGACATGACAGGCTCGAGAACTCATGTTAGAGTCTATGTAAATATTGTCCATGATGAAGGAAAAATCGAGAACCCAGTGGTGAGCATGAACATAATAATGAGGGCATATTTTTAAATATCCATCATCCTACCATCTGCTTATCGTCATGAACTGTTGGAGTACCTATACCTACTCATATGGGGCCGGCATTTGTTCCCGGTCGATGCGCCTCTGCCCGCTTCCCCACATTCTGCCAATTCATCCTTATCTGCTCCGCTTCCCAGGTTAGTAGTTATCTTCAAGAAGACGAGATATGACCGGACCGGACCGGGGACTTGAAGAATACATAATAAACGTTCCCGGCCATTGCATCTTGACCGTTCAAATGCCGAACGCGAACAACCCGATCCAAGATCTCAAATACCCTGTATTTGCAGCGGAGCGGGCCCCGCTTGGAAATAATGGAGAACACCATAGACCCGTCGCTGAACTGGCTTTTTGATTGTGGTGATAGCCTCATAGATTCAGTATTGAATATAGAGGAGTGTCGTTGAAATATGGACTCTGGCAATTAATAAACCAATTGGTAACAAAACGCTTCGGGTCTTTTTACTGAACTGCTCTGATTGACAATCTCGTGCTTACTGGTCGTATCTACAAAATGGCATGTCTACCAAGTGTTGATGAGCGACTTGTCGCATTTATCATATCTGGAACGACCCTGTCTAAATGTTTCTGGTATCTCCACGTCTGTAATATAAGCAGCAGCACTTCACGACATCCTAATTAGGTATCCAGATGAACCTTACTCGTAGGGCCTTTGTGGCACAGCGATGCATTCCCATTTGGTCAAGATGAGCCGGTCTGCAAGTCAAGGGTCTGGACGTCTAAATATGATCGCTTAGAATAGTGTATTCTTCACATACACGTGAACTCCGCTGGTCTATCAGTATAGCAATTTTGTTCACCTAATAGCACTCCGTCTCTATAATAGTCCAGTGGGTATTATTTTGTCTATAGCCATCCTATTTCATGTCCCAACTCAACCGAAACTTATGGATCAATGTTTGTCATAACCATCTTGGTGATTGTAAACTCGTCGATACCATACTTGCTTCCTTCTCTTCCAAAACCACTCTGCTTAATGCCACCGAAAGGAGCGGCAGGGTCGCTCAGAACGCCTGAGGTTTTGCTGTCAGTAATATGCAATATTATTGTGCTTGGGAAACTTACCGCAATTGACACCAACCATACCAACCTCTAAGGCTTCAGCCACGCGATAACATCGATTCACATTGTTGCTGAAGAAATAGCCTCCAAGACCAACATCACTGTCGTTCGCAAGCTCAATAGCTTCGTCCTCGTTGTCGAATGCAAAGAAAGCAGCAACAGGTCCGAAAGTCTCTTCGCTACAGATCTTCATGCCAGGCTTCATACCAGTCAACATTGTGAGGTCAAAGTAGTTAGGGCCGAGGTGTGGTAGACGCTCGCCACCGTGAATAAGCTTGGCTCCCTTGGAAAGAGCATCTTCAACATGCTCAGCAGCCTTGGCTACGGCACGTCCATGGATGAGAGGACCATGAGTTGTCTCCTCACCAAAGCCGTCGCCAACAACAAAGGTCTTGACAACATCAAGGACCATTTGGACAAATTTGTCATAGATACTGCGGTGCACCAGAATTCGGTTGGCGCAGACGCAAGTTTGACCCGAGTTGCGGAATTTGCAAGCGATCACACCCTTGACAGCCTTAACAAGGTCCGCATCTTCGAAAACGATGAAAGGAGCGTTTCCTCCCAGTTCAAAGGACAATTTCTTGATTGTTGAAGACGATTGATTCATAAGGAGTCTGCCCACACCAGTTGACCCTGTAAAAGAGACTTTCTTGACCTTGGGGTGTGTAGTCAAGACTTTGCCCACTTCAGCAGTGTTATCCAAAGCTGTGATAACGTTGACAACGCCGGCAGGAATTCCAGCACGATGCGCCAGTTCAGCCAGAGCAAGAGCTGTCAGAGGAGCCTCAGCGGGAGCTTTAATGACAACAGTACAGCCAGCAGCGAGCGCAGGCCCGGCCTTTCGGGTAATCATGGCAGCGGGAAAGTTCCATGGTGCAATGAGGCCGCAGACACCTACAGGCTGTTTGATGGTGGACAGACGACATGATGGGTTTGTTGCCTCAATGGTCTCACCATAAATTCTAGGGGCCTCCTCTGAAAACCATTCAAAGAAAGCTGCTGCGTAGTTGGCCTCTGTCCTGCCATCTGCCAGAGGCTTGCCGTTCTCAAGGGTGATGAGTCGTGCAATGTCCTCCGAGTTCTCCATCATGAGATCATACCAGCGGCGGAGGTACCGGGCCCGCTGGCGAGCCGGGGTTTTACGGTATGTCTTGTATGCGGCATCGGCGGCGGCGATAGCGGCTTCTGTGTCCCTGGCGTCGAACTCGGGACAATTCCCAATCTTTTCAAGGGTTGAAGGGTCTGCATAAAGGTAGGTAGCGTTAGTAAATTGTATCGGAGTTTACGGACACGGGGGTTCGCGCACTTACTTTCGACAGCAAAGTGCTTCCCAGACTTTGCAGCTACCCATTCACCATTGACATAACATGCGTTTTTGATGAGGGTAAGATCGGTGAGCTGCAGCGAAGCAATATGTTTAGTACTTTCGATAGCCTCTCCATGAAGAGTAAGGTAGTTGCACTGGAAGTGCGAGCGAGCGGGAATATGACACACCTTTGAAGCTGCCATGATGCTTTTTGGCGAACCGCGTTTGTTCGATGGAGAAGATGTATGCTAAACACGGCTGAGACTTTAGATGGCAGAGAGGAGTTTATAGCAGAGTAGACGAGGATCAGTTCCTATCTATGAAGTCCCTTCTTTACATACCTTAGTAGATATTTTTGCTCACGACTATCTCGGACCTCCGCATCGCTTCCGGACGCTTCCTGTCTTGTACATTGACTACCAAGCAATAACAAATCTGTCCTAAAACACGGCAGTGACCGGCCTCCTAGCTACAAGTCTCGCTAAATCACTATATGGCAATGGCCATGAGACCTGTTTCGGTGAACCTTTGATGCTTGGTGATCCGGCCTCGCGAACCATTTTTCAACACACGGCACCGATTGGGAACCGGACCGGCAGGGTGTATATGATGACTAGAAGGGTGTTTATGATGGAAAAGCATGAGGGAAGGCGGCAAGAACAGGAGTGTCATTAGCCAAATTCCGAGAAGGGCGTGTGGTTTAGAATCTACGTAGCTAGGTATTGAGTTGGAGAAGGAGCTGATGGGGAAATATTGTCACGGAGCGGGTGCACTTGAGCGTAACTCCAGCCTTCGGAACCGAGAGTGCCTTTAAATATGAGAACCGGTGTGGGGGCCTTGGGAGCCGACGAACTAAACCCCAGAGGCACCAGTAAAGAATGGGAAGCTTCAGGCGCTTTGATCGTTCAACAACTCTCGTCACCTGGCTTAGGTAGGTAGTACGAAGACTTTTTTTATGTAAAGCAAAAAGCGTGGCATCCCCGGTCTCGTCACCGAGAAATTGTTGTCCGGGGAAGACTTTTACTAAATGTTGGGGTAGTGATCCTTTTGATTTTAATGTTTGTGGTCGTCGCGAGAAGCATATTGGAAGTTCGATGCCAGTGAACAAGACTTGCTACTAAATTAAGTTAATGTTTCTCATTAATTGACATGGGATCTCTGGAGTAGTAGTCAGCACCCCCGAGACGGCAGCATTCTTTCCGCGCTGAACAAGCAAGCACAGGATAAAACCCGTCATGACCTCCGCTACAAAATCAAGGGTGCAGCGGTGGCGTCCAAGGTCAGGTCCCGTGAGGCATCCCTCTCCCCTCCGGCTTTGTGCCGGCCGGTCTCTCGACTCCGGCCCCACGATGCATCCCCAACTCTGCGCATCGTGTCCACGAGCCGCAGGCAATACCTTTCAATTGGCAGGGGTGGGCATATCGAGGCCCTCCATGAACTTTTTTGACCATGTTTGGTGACCTATTAGTGCCACCTCCGATACCGTTGCCAAATGCTATAATAGCTCCTCCCCCAGCTTCGAACTTCACTTCCAATTTCTCCAGGACATCTTATCTCTCTTTCCTCTCTCACAAACACAGGATACCCAGAGGAAATTTCAACTTCTTTCAGAGATCTTTGCAAGCTTCACAATGCCTTCCTTCGTAGAGTCCCCCGTTCGCATGGAGATTCCTGGCCCTGTATCCAAGGCCAGCTCCAAGCGTCTGGATGCCATTTTCGACGCCCGTGCCGTTCACTTCGTTGTCGACTACGACAAGTCTCATGATAATTAGTAAGATCTTATTCCCCAAAAGACATGGCGATGTACGAACTAACGCTTTGAAGCATTGTCGATGTTGATGGCAACAAGTACCTCGATGTCTACGCCCAGATTGCTTCCATCCCTGTGGGATACAACAACGACACTCTGATCGAGGCCGCCAAGTCCCCCGAAATGATCTCCGCTCTCGTCAACCGTCCTGCGATTGGCAACTTTCCTTCCGACCAATGGGTCGATATTCTCCGTAACGGCCTTATGAAGGTCGCCCCCAAGGGCCTCAGCTACATCTTCACTGCTCAGTCTGGATCTGAGGCCAACGAGCTTGCCTACAAGGCTGCTTTCATGCTCTACAGTCGTCGCAAGCGTGGCAACGCTGACTGGAATGAGGAGGAGATCAACTCCTGCCTTGAGAACTCCAAACCTGGCTCTCCTGAACTCGCCATCATGAGTTTCAGGAACTCTTTCCACGGCCGTGGTTTCGGCTCCCTCTCTACCACCCGCTCCAAGGCTGTTCACAAGCTCGATATCCCTAGCTTCAACTGGCCCCAGGCCCCCTTTCCTGCTCTCAAGTACCCTCTTGAGGAGCATGTCGAGGAAAACGCGGCCGAGGAGAAGCGATGCCTTGAAGAAGTTGAGCGCATCATGACCACGTGGCATTGCCCCGTTGCAGGTCTCATTGTTGAGCCCATTCAGTCCGAGGGTGGTGACAACCACGCCTCCCCGGCTTTCTTCCAGGGTCTCCGTGACATTACCAAGAAGCACGGATCCGTTCTCATTGCCGACGAGGTACAGACCGGTTTCGGTGCCACTGGTTCCTTCTGGGGACATGATCACTGGAACCTGACCTCTCCACCAGACATGGTCACCTTCTCCAAGAAGGCGCAGACTGCTGGATACTTCTTTGGCAACGAGATGCTTATCCCCGACAAGGCTTACCGTCAGTTCAACACCTGGATCGGCGACCCTGCCCGTGTCATCATGTGCAAGGCTGTCATTCAGGAGATTCTTGACAAGAAGCTTGTTGAGCAGACAGCCCGCGTGGGTACTCACCTTTATGCCGAGCTTGCACGCCTTGCTGCCAAATACCCTGATCACATCCAGAACCTCCGTGGAAAAGACCAGGGCACTTTCATTGCTTTCGATACCAAGGACCCTGCTGGTCTCGTTCGCTCCATGCGCCATATCGGTGTGAACATTGGAACGTGCGGCAAGAACACTGTCCGTCTCCGACCTATGCTCATTTTCCAAGAGGAGCACATTCCTATCCTCATCAATGCCTTTGACAAGGTTATTGGTGCTCTGTAAGCTGAATTCAGCAGGAACATTGAAATGGGATTGGGTTTTTACGCATCATGCCTTCCACTAGCGTTGCATTGATTTTTGTTTACATTTGTCAAAAGGGTTATTCTGAGG